AAAAAATTTTGACATTAATATGTTGTAGTTCCAAATACATTTCCAATGAAATTAAGGGGTGTTTATTTGAGTATGTACGCATCCATTTTACACCAACAATAATTAACGCCTCCCTCAAATAAACGCCTCCCATGAATAAACGCCGCTTCAAAAATCCTTAACAATAAACGCCCTAGAGCGTTTATTTGAATAAATAGTTTATTTGTAAATACCAATTTATGGTTCCATGGGAAGAATTATTGAATGAAGAATTATTTCAATTTTCATTTGAAAGTTTATGGGCTCCACACAGCCAGTAAGTATCAATGAAACTTGTTTACAGAGCATTCATTTATTTTTTACATTCTGTAATTGGCAAATTATTCATGAATGAATGAGAATGAAATTTTACCCATGCATAAGGCCCCAGCTTGCACTGTTTATGGGCTGTAAAATGGTTAATGTTCTGTTTCAGCCATCGGTTGTGTCACTGCTAGTACAGTGCGTTAGCCGAGTGGTTAAGACACCAGGCTAGTTATCTGGAGGTCCTGGGTTCGTTACCTACCCAAATCACTTGGGAGTTTTTATTTTCGCAAGCATTTGGGAACATACTAAGCATTCAGTACTATAACACGTCAGGGTGAACATTGATTGGTCATAGGAACCCCCTCCCCCTATTAATCCTTGTTACTAACCTGAGTGTCCATGAGGTTTTACATTGAAGTTGTTTTAGTTGTGAACAAATATTTTATTTTGAAATTTGCTAGATTTGAACTTAGGATTTTGGGATTAGAAGGCAGATACCTGTCTCTTATACACATCTAGATGTGTATAAGAGACAGGCCTATAGCTTTATTTGATTTTTGCATTGGCAGCCATGCCATTTTTTGCCCCACTTTTAATCATGTTCACATTAGTTAGGACTTAATAAAATATAGGCTCCCAGTAAGATCGTATGTCTGCTGCCCATTATTGTACATTGCTTAAATTTTAAATAGTACTATCATGATCTATCAGGCTTTTTTATCATACAAGGCATTCGTATCAACCCTGTGCTGCGTCTCTATGATGCATGCTTGAGTTTTAAATGCAAGTTTGTTGAGATTTCAAACTCCATTCGTTTTCAAATAGGGCGCCCCCTGCCTTGTGGTAGTAGTACCCATCTTGCACCGCCATCGGATTTACTAGCTCTTATAGGGTTAACTGCCAGACGATAACATACCGTAGTGTCTATGCCCCTGAGGAAAATAAAATAAATATAAATGTTTCCCTCTTTCAGATCTAGTGATTTATTTTTCTACAGTAGTTTTGTCTGGGCTTCACATTATTTATTCACACAACATTCAAAATACTATTTGATGAAAGCTCTGGAAGGTGTGTTACAATACTGTAATAAGAACAACTACACCAAAACTACATTCCTCTCTATATCCTCCTCCTAGGCAGTTAATGGTACTTGAGATTTCAAAATGAAATAATCTGTTACTTTGAAAGTACCATTGAGTATACTATACTGGGTTGGGTTCTTAAGGAAATTGAGTGATCATATCTGACTTTGACATTAGGATGAACTGGGAGTTGTAATATTCTGTATTGTACTATATTTTTTATTACATACAGTAATTTTATTTAAGTATAAAAATGCCCTACTCTATATAACATTAATTTAGCATGTAATAAATGAATTTATTACATGAGTATAGTTATTACTATTATTATTTTATAAGATATATGTACCGCACATATCCAATTACAGAAGAACTGCTCAAAGCGCTTTCTTCCCTGGTCATTGGAAACAGAATCAATTACACACAGTGCAGCCTCCTCCACACTCTCGGGAGTTCCTAGTTATGCGTGTAATTAGCACTACTAATTTCATTCCGAATCATTCACCTCCTACCAGGTATCCATTTATACTCCTGGGCCCGAAGTGAGATAAGTGCAGATAAAGTGTCTTGCCCAAGGACACAAGCAGTGTGCCAGGCATCAGTCTCAAGCCCCCAACTTTCCGATTGAAAGCCCAGCGCCTTACACACTGTGCTACACACTCAATGCATAAACTATACTCGGTGGTATAGAAAGTGAGTTTATTAATAAGTGTGGCTATAAACAGTAGTGGTGGTATCAGCATTTGTTTAAGAGGTGGTCCATCGTTCCCCTAAACATGGGCCACTCCCACCTCAGACCCAGTGTGGTTGGGCCTGAGATTAAAAACCAACATTTTGTTGTTATTGTTGGGCACCTGCTGTGTTTTGTTTGTCATTAATCTGATTGATTAATAATGTACCAGGTGGTTATATTACTATTCACATAAAGGTACAGTATGTGCATTGGTGACATTGGTAGGTGTACAGTATGGTACTGGTACTGCAATATAATGTGAGTATCATTACAGGTTGATTGCTGCCAATATTAGCAATTCTTAAAACTTCTTAAAATATGTGTCTAGAAAATTGCAAGATTTATAAGCAGATACTCAATATATCTAACTGTGTTTTATTGAGAAAAAAAAGGCCTGACATCATACTGTATCTCTATTTTATTAATTATTAGTGGCATATCGAAGTCAATTATTATATGTAAATTAATACTGAAACTTACTTACTAGGTCGGCCACAGCCGAGCCTTAGCATGGACACTCCATTCATCACAGTGTCCTGCCAGTGTCATTCTCCTGTACGCTATCTTGTCCCCAACCTTTGGTAGGGTGCCATACAGTAGGTTTTTTTGTACTGAAAACAATATTTACTGTATATACAATATTAACTGTATATATAATAAATGAAGTTATTGAATGAGTATTTTCAATAATAAGCATCACCTGCTTCACACATAGTAGTATTACATTTCTAGATATTCTATTCATTATGTTGATTTTTTCTTTTGTATATATTTTATTGAATTTTTGTTGTATATATGTTTTTATATATGTATCTGGTAAAACTTGCATTCAAAGTTATTACTACGTATTATAGTATGTCATGGAAGTAGTGGCATATTTAGGAGTCTTGAAATGGGGGAACTGATGGGGAGGGAAAGGTCCTGTCTCTTATACACATCTAGATGTGTAGGGGGGTGGCGATGATTAGGTGAGAAGTGCTACCTCCCGAAATAACAGAATTTTAGATGATTTTTAATCACTTAAGCATGGTTTTTTGAGGAGAGACTAGGGAGGGGTGCAAGTATTTTTTTATGGGGGGAGGGATTAAAATTCTAATTAAAGAATGTCGGGCCCATAACCATGGAGACGGAATTTTATATACCAAATCACTTCTTCTCTTTACATAAAAAATCATATAAGTGATAATGAAATTCACCATTTACATGATAAAATGCGCAGGTACCAAAAGGATTCACACCCTGACACAACAGAAACTTTTTTCTGCCTGTCAGAGGAAGCCCCTCCCCTAGTAATCCTTGTCACTCACTAGCCACCAAGTGCAAGCTCGGAGGTCGAGTGGTTAAGACACCAGGCTAGTTATCTGGAGGTCGTGGGTTTGATTCCCACCAGAATCACTTGCAAGTTGTTTTTCGCAAGCATTTGGGAACATACTAAGCATTCAGTACTATAACACGTCAGGGTGAACATTGATTGGTCATAGGAACCCCCTCCCCCTATTAATCCTTGTTACTAACCTGAGTGTCCATGAGGTTTTACATTGAAGTTGTTTTAGTTGTGAACAAATATTTTATTTTGAAATTTGCTAGATTTGAACTTAGGATTTTGGGATTAGAAGGCAGATACCATGTAACTTTACCACAAAACTATAGCTCCAATCTACTGTAACCTGTTTTGGACTAGCTCACCAAAACCGTTGAACCAGTGAACTAAAATTGATTATTTACTATTAAAATATTATATTATATAGCATTTGAGGCCATGACCTTATATGGAGGCTGCATTAAAAATAATTATTGAATTTTAATTGTGAATTATTGATTTTTATTCCTTGAGAAAAGGTTAAAATTTAAATACAGCAGATTTATGAGGTTAATTTTTCTATTAGAGTTGGTATATACATGTAGTATACATTGATTGTACAATATTATAGTTTGATTTAATTCCAATGGTGTTTTGTCTCAGGAGAAATATGGCCCTACCTTTTTGGTATTTGGGAATGTGAGCATTCTGTACTGTAACACGTCAGGTAAGGCAAACATCGATTTGTATTATTTCCCCTGATGTAAGACAACATTGGAATAGCATTGCAGTACCCGCTGCTACTTGGGGATTGGATTCATTACGAGTTTAGTGGTAAAGTAGTTAAGACACCAGGCTAGTTATCTGGAGGTCCTGGGTTCGTTACCTACCCAAATCACTTGGGAGTTTTTATTTTCGCAAGCATTTGGGAACATACTAAGCATTCAGTACTAAACAGATCAGGTAGGGCAAACATTATTCATAGTTTAAATTTAAAATATTCCATCAGTTTTGTGATGAAATCATATTTTACTATCATTTAGACATGAATATTACTATGGACATATAGTAATCTACATCATAGATATTGAATTATTACTTTAAATGCATATTATATATTAATTGATATACTAGTATGTTATTCTTTGGAATATAATGCATTTTTTGTTTTACATTTCTTGAGAATATTATTAATTTATTATTATTTGCATATCTTATGAATTTATAATTTAGATATTGACACTTGCTCCAAGAGATGGAATATTTTAATTTGACAATGCTCAGTAGTAACTGAGCTTTTTCACATTACCATTTTTATTGTATGTTTGATGTCAACTTTGATGTATAAAGATATAGATCTCTGCCATTAGATATGCAAATATTTGAATAAATTAACATGCTTAAATTTAAGTGACAATAATGGACCATCAATAGTCATGCTAATTCCAGGTACGCATTATAATATTGATAAGTGAGCATTCATCCACGGAACTTAAAATTACTACTTTGACACGATAGTTTACAGCGCGCCTAACTGCTATTTCTCTCACTCCATATGCTGCGATACATTGGAGGTCACACAAAGGAAGTTGATTTTATTAATGCTAATATCTAGGCTCGTTTAACACATGTTTCCTACCGTGTATGGTCTCATGTACACACTCTGCATCAGTTGGATATATATAGAACAATACAGAGACAGTTTTTAGTATCTTTGCTTTAGATTCAGGTAAGCTTCTCTCAGGTATTATTAATCACCATGGTGATTGATTTGATTACATTATTCAATGTGTTTTTGATTACTCATCAATATTTTATGTTGATAGTTTGAACTCTAATTTCTCATAGTCATCTAACAGTTAATATATTGTATACTATTATATAAAATATGTACAGTAATATAAACATTAATAATATAATATATTTACTATATTTTGTATTATTTTTCAGACTCTGTTTTTCCTTTGTTTTATTTTTGTAATTTTGATTATCATTACAATCATATATGACTGCTTTGTGCTGGTAATATAAATTAAAGAACAATTGTAAATGATACATTAAAATTAATTTCAGTTAAAAAAAATCAATTTAATTTATAGTATGTATAATAATGTAGAATATAATAGCATTGAGGATGCTCTGAACTTGAAATGAGCTTTTCATGTTGTTATAGTTTAACCTTATGTAAGATATATTGCCTCTGTCTTAAGTCCTACACAATGTCCGTCACTGTCTACTTATCAATCGATGGCAGTTTGAGAAAATCTATCGTGTACCTTGCGGCGTTGCCCCTGTGGACAGGGGAAGATCCAGAATTTTTTAAATGAAGGGGCACAAATTTTATAGGCCTAGATGTAGTGTAATTATACAGATAAATAAGTATCATCTAATGATGTAGTTTGTGTTCAGTAATATGTTGACGGCCAGACCCTTCCTTAGGTTCCTTCCCATGTGCCAAAACAAGTTTACATACGAACATACTTTTTTGAAATTTTATCTAGTTATATGTCGTCAAAATGTTGTGTCTAATAGATTGGTGGTAAAATATTAGGAGACGAGTAAACTTGTCACCAGCACAGGACAGCACTTTTTATTGCCTCCGCCAAGTGCGAGTTTTCTCCTCCACTTTTTGCATGGATTGGTATATGCTCAGAGGGCGCCCCACTCGTGTATCGAATGTACTCAGGGCAACATAACACAGGAAACAGACGTATGTTCTTTGTACGTTATCCTCCAGGTGTATCTTCCCTGAACTACCAGCCATTAAGTCTGTGGTTCTACAATGTATAACAAAGAAGTAATAAATGCTAGAATGTTACCCCGATTTTGACGAGTATAGTCCTCTCTAGCGCCCTCAGCAACACCCTGCGGGACGAGTATACTCATCTGTGGCAGCGAATGTGTTAAGAAATATTGTGAAATTTAGTATTTATATGCCATTTTGTATTTTTTTCTGTTAAAAAATATAAGACGGCAGTGGCAAAACTGGGGGAACATGCTCTCGTTCCCACCCCCAAATCCACCCCTGGTGGAATTGTGTTGGCTTACAGAGTACACGCCCAGATTTAGATTGTGTGTGGTTGCTTTTTCTTTTAAATTTTTTTTTTTAGTTGTATTGTCATATATATTGGTAGTTGAATTTTGTTGATTTAAAAAAAAATGCAACTGAGTGTTTTAAAGAAAGATCTTATTTAACTCTTATTAGAAATCAGGAAGGGGAAGAACAGATAAGATTTGTTTAGATGATATTAAACATTACTGAGGTATAAGAATATGATAAAATAAACAGATTGGATGTGATCCATAAGAAATGACAACATACAAGAACCTACCTTTGATTCATATGGCACTTTTTAATAAATAAAATAAGAAATATTTATTAAACTCAAAAGAAAGTGAAATTTTTGTTAAAGACTGCTGTAACTCCTTGCTCAAAATTAAGATTCATGAATTATGCTTATTGTGTTTGATGTTGTAAGATGATGCGTTTGGCCAGGTATTATTCAGTAGGCTATATTTCATGACGTCAAACTCCATCTACATTTCATTGATCATTTTGTGATAATATTCTGATATTACAGGTATGTCCTGATGTTTGCAATATAGTTCATTATATAACATGCTTTTACCTGGAAATATATTTATAAAATGTTTATCAATGCATTGTAATAATTGCATTTCCTTTCTTGATAACATTGCAAAAAAAAAAAAAATTAAAATTTTAAAAATATCATCAAAGCCTAGCTATTACTGTATATTTTGCGCTCTACGATACGAGAGATTATTGTACACGCTACTTTAAAAACCTATATATTATTATTATTATTATTATTATTATTATTATTATTATTATTATATTGTATTTTCTTATGTTTTATTTTGCAAAAAGTCCCCTAGAGTGTAATGCCTGATGCCCCCGACCTTTTGTTGTAGAGCACTTTTTTGCACTGCCTGGATACATGCTTCTCAATACGTATTTTTTGAAATTGCATTGAAAATCAATATATTCTAATTTTAAGGAGTTATTGTAAAATTGATGCTTAGGAATGTATAATTTGCTATGTTATTAATGGCTTGGCATTATAATAACATAAACACATGATATTAATGAACCATCAGAGACAAAGCCATTACATTAGGCCAAATAAATAAAAAAGTAGTTTCTCATCCTAAAAATAAAATAAGGGCACTTTTTTTTTCACTCCAAATCCAAGATGGCCGATGGGAAACAGCTACTACTTTCTCACTTTTACCAAGTAGACACATTGAAAGCAAATAAAAAAAGCACAAGACATGATTCATACCATATGTGTCCCAACCACGAACGAACGCGAGAGGAATTTTACTGATGTGAGTTAGCCAGATTTGCATATATAGGAAATTAAAAAAAAAAAATGGTGAGGCTGAGAAAGTGGATGCGCGAGGGGATGAGATACTATTATTTTTTTTTTTGGCCTTATTCATTAGGTATCAAGGAGCAATCAATGCCCTGAAACTGAGATAATTTGGTTAATGATATGGTAAAAATTGGTGGTAAAAATTATGGTGAAATTGAAACAAAACCTGAATTATTTCTTGATGTACTTCATGGATAGTACATTGATAAGCTAACGTGGACATTTCCTTCAGCATAATTATCTTTGAAAATGAATGGAATCATCTATCCTACCACAGTATAATGCGATACGCATTATATAATCTTCTTCATTAGTCTTTTGATGTTCGATCCCAAAGGAGTGCTTATCTATTGGTTAAATGCCAAGTATAATGTTATTGAATAAAAAATAAAGCGAAAAAATACGTAATTTCTGGATTTCTGGAAGATGTTCAGACCCTTCTTTAAGAGTGGTAACACCAGAGAGGGCATGAGACTTAATCTGCCATCAGATAGTCCAAAAAAATAAATAAGTTGTCTCTTATGCCTGGTTTCCATAACATTGCTACATGCTATCGCTGATTTCTTTCGGCAACACTCATTAGTCCGTCGACTCGAGGAGTCTTTTTGATTGCGTTAAGAACAACTACAGTACGTAGTTTAACTCACTACAGCGACAATGATTGATATGTTTTGTTGCCAAGTGACGTGAACCATTCACTCCTAGACTTCTTTTATTAAATCGATGCATTAATATATTGAATCGTGCACATCGTATATGACCTTGACCTCTTTATGACCCCTGATGCATCCCCAGTAACAGTTTTGCGTCATTGTTGACTTTTTAGTGCCGTAATGTCTTTCATAGTAGGAGAGCCACACTTCATTATTTTCAGAGCCCATAATGCTGTTATGCCACTATCACATGACAAACCATTACATTATTTTATCATTTTAAATACAAACCTAGAGACAGCTAAAGTAGTTATTACTTTGGTCATGTGATTGAAGGAAACAGACACATATCTTCCAATTTGATAACTTTAAGTTTTGCTAATGGGCCACTGGGATAGCATGACTATATCAAGATTTTTACAAATTCTGAGGACAGAATATATCGATTATCATCAGTGGCTAAGCCCTCCATCTGACTGGTAAAACCTCCCACCGGCCAGAGCTCGTCGGGCAGTCAGACCAAAAATAAAATAAAATAGGCATGAAATAAAATTCATGTTTATTGATTTGACTTTGAGAGTATAGTAATAATTGTATTTTAACAACTTTACACTTAAAAAGTGTTTTCCAAGTCTGGGAATGCCATTTCCAGCCACCCAGAGGTCCCTATTTGAAAAAAAAATTCTCATTAGGGACAAGCTTGGTCAGAAGGCCCTCGGATAGCAATGTGAGCCAAAGTTAACCTTATCTCACTCAGCCCTCCTCCCCAGTCGGACAACTACTCAGCCCTCCTCCCCAGTCGGACACTTTGCCCCCCCCCCCAGAAAATATTATAAAGCCGCCACTGACTACCATCATCAATTTAAATTAAAGATTGACATAGTAAGTGATCAAGGCAACTCAATTATTATAACTAAAATCCAGTTAATTAGTCATTCTACTGTATCATATAACTAATCTTTGAATCATAATCAATCAATGTCAATCATAATAATCTATTAAAAGAGATAGTGTAGTTTATGAATGCTTGTCTTAATTAAATAAACATTCAGTTATAAAAGCAACTCACCAAAGTTTTTATGTGTTATGTGTTTTACTTGGTATTTGTATAGTCCCTATTCCGTAAGGTTACAAAGCACTTTGTTTTCCCTTGTCATGCTTGTGTTGCTGCCATATTGGCGCAGTAGTAGGAAACCCCACCAGGTAGCCATTTATACTCCTGGGTGGAGAGAAGCAATGCAGATAAAGTGCTTTGCTGAAAGACACAAGCGAAGCGCCTAGGGAGGGATTGAAACCCAGACCTCGAGGTTGGGAAACCAAACTGTTCCTGCTGTGCCAAGCTGCTTCCACATAGACTTTTCTAATAATATTTCGCATCACTACAGATTCAATGATTGGATAAGCAGGCTAGATTACTAAGAACATCTTTACTTACTACAGTATTGGGCTAATATCCTATTTCTGTAGCACCAGCTGCTACATACTGTAGTTAATTAATTATTGTAGAGCGATACAGACTTGATTTATTGTGTGTTCCATTCAACAATTAGTTATTGCACTGCTTGGATATGCATTTAAACAATTTAAAAGAAAATAAATTGTTAATGAAGTGTTTACCAGTCTGAAGGTTTATCTTCAACCAAAAGTACTCAGTCTCCCATCATAATAGTAATTATTAA